AGAGAATCAACCATATCGAGTTATTCTTAACTTTAATGGTCATTCATTATTTGCAATGTAAGTATTTGTCATTTTAGAGTGCTATTTCACAATACATCTATTATTATTTTCGAATTTCAGGTGGCGTTAAACCTCCAATACTACCCTGTCTACATGCTATGTATCCTGGAAAATTCGAAAATTACACCGATATTCATACAATAGATATCCATGAAAGGCTTGAACCATACAAAACAGACAATAATCAGTCACTTGGAGAGTTACTACTTGGATTCTTTGATTATTACGCAAACTTTGAGTAAGTTCATAAAATAATTTCTAATTATGTAGTACTGTGATGCCTCGCATATCGGTAGTATATGTTAATAAAACTAATTCGTTCTGTAATATAAAGTATGGTCTTCTAATGTAAAATACAGTTGTACCCCGACTTACTGAAATATGAGTGCTTCGAAATACAAGCTGGAAAATGAGCAATTAGTTGCTCCGGCATATGTTCAAAATTCAATATACGAGCTTTGAGCGAGTAAGAGTTTTCTAGAAAAACTATATGTGCAAAAAACGGCAGTTTTTGAGAGAACTAATCAACCGATTTGAATAATTCAAAAAACTTTCTGCTTGCTTTGACAAAATAATTGCTTTTGGAAAAAAAAATTTTCATTTTTAAGCTCACTTATATGCTTTAAATAAATAATTTTAACTTTGTAATTCGATTTATACAACTCTTATATATATTAGAGATTGTTACACTGTTTATAATAATCTATATGAAAACATATAATATTTTTTGAATATTTCGTTATGGTGCAGAAAGTTCCAGCGATTTGCCTTAAGGCACAATGCCATACACAACTAATTTTAATGTTAATTGTGTAGTAACGATTTATCCACGCGAACATATGGATTATTTTAACTTTCGAAATTTTAACTTCATATTAATAATGATTGTTCAATTATATAAAATATAACAAATATATTATGTTGAGTTCGCGTTTTTTTAATTTTTTTGATATTCAAAGAACTTAACATAAACCACAGTGCTGGAATGAATCAATGGTATTCCAATGCATTTATATGGGAAAAATAGATTCAAGGAACGAGTGATTTGACATACGAGCGTGGCTACGAAACGAATTAAACTCGTTTAATGGGATACCGCTGTATATTATATTATAATTAGTTATTTTATTGCTTTATATGCGTATTAAATTTTTTATCAGTTATATAAAAAAGTGGTTGTGCTCCCTTTGACCTAATTAGCTTCTAAAGAAGCTGTTGATGGTTGTTTGTTTTTCTTTCTTATTTAAGACCTGCCCAAAAGAGTGAGGCACAGATGTACAAATTGCTTATTCTATCAATCTCATCCAGGTTTAAAATCAACGGACCTGAATTTTTGCACTTATTTCTACTTAGCCAAAAAGTTTGTTGTGGAATCGTTTTCATTTTTTTTTTTTGATAATCTTTTTCTAAATTTTCCTCAAGGATCTTTCGGGTGAATAGCTGCATTATCGCATAGCAAGAGCTATTTAAGTGTAAGGTTTTTCAACAACAAATATTTTTTTCACTTTTTGAATAAAACTCAGCTCACCCAGACCTTCTGATTAGATTTTCATTTAGCACATCAACTTCATTTTTACTACAAATGATCATTGTGTGGTCCATTTTGCAAAGTGTTTATTATTCGAGGTGTACTTTGTGCGGGGCACCCACTCTATGTACTAATTTATCAGTATTCAAAGCATTATTAATCTATTATTTTAGTTACTCGGCGTGGGCAATATCCATAAGGCTTGCAAAACTGTTGAAAATTGATGATTGCAAAAATGAACAAATGCCAAAGAATGATCCGACACAATGGTTATACATTTGTATTGAAGGTATGCGAAATATTCATAATATATATTGTGGGCAATTTAATAAGTACTTAGCTGATTCTTTTTTATAATATTTTATTTCACTAAAATTTGCGGACACGACGCTGTTCAACAAAACTAGGTCCGATCCAGTTGAATTTTACCAGTAGCGCTGTATGAGGTTTTAGTTAATAGCTATCTGCCTAATTACTTGGCATTGAGACTAAATACTTATCACATTACCCACACCTGCTAATATGTATGCAATGAAACTAAATGGTTAAATATTTTAGAACCCTTCGATCGGACCAACACAGCGAGATCGGTCTATCTGTACAATATGTTTCTTTACATTAAGTCTGTATTTTCATTTTCATACATGAAGTTGAAACAAACTCATGATTTAGATCGGATTATGGATTTGGGATTACCAGTACCTGAATTGCAATCCTCGTCTCTTCCTGTAAAAAATATACCTTCGGGAAAAACTGAAACAAAGAAATCAAAATATAAAAATGGGTGTTGCCTTAGCAATGAAAATTCTGACCAAAAGATAGAATTATCAGCATGCGAATGCATACTAAAATTAATGATCGAATGAATTTCGAATTCAATATGTATATATATATATATATATCTTTTTATATTCATAAGAATCGTTTTTAAGAATTGCGGCTGTGATCTTATTAGTAGCAAATTGTTTTGCTTTAGTCACCACAAATCGAAATATGAATGTCGAAACATTTGTTAAAAAATCGCATTCATAATGTTACAGTTCTGGTTAATTTGTGGTTGATGCCAGAGATGTGTGACAATAATTTTATCGTTCGTGATTCTGGCTTCAGATTTAGTTTATAAATATTTATTTAGATTGTTTAACAAACAACATGTGTTGAAATTTCTTCGTTTAACTTTGATAGTATCAGAATATAATTTTCTTTATTATCCATATAAAGAAAATTGAATTCTGACTATCACAGATTGTTTTTGATAATATTTTGATATATAATTTATAAAGAAAAAAATAGAAAAAAATTTATAACAAGAAAAAGAAAAAAAAAAACAAAAAAAGTTTAAAAACAGAAAATACAAAAAAAAATAAAAACTAAGAAAACCGAAAGAAAATTCAGGACTCGAGGGAGTTTATTCGGGAGCAAAAATATTTTTTCAGCAGCTGTTAAGGCTGAATTTAGTCATTACGCTGCAATTATTTATGAATAAAAACATTTTATTCAATAAAGGAATATGGAAGAGAGAATTTGGCAATATTAATAACCAGACTTGATTGATTGCCAAAGAAATAAAATGCACAGCACAGTAATTAAATTTAAAGTTTTTAAAATATTTGTACATAGGGAAAGATTGTTAGCAGCTGCCTTATGGAGTCATTCCATTGAGTGGAAATTTGTGTTCATTTCAATATATTTAATATTATTCTATTTAAGCAAACTTCCATATTTCTCCATACTCATTGAAAATTATATAAAAGAGCATTAATTCATAATTTACCATAGAATGTGTTAGGTCCACCGACATATAAATGTTATGTGAATTGTTCATGTGCATCAATATTAACAAAACTTGTTGTAAACTTGAGTTGTATGGTGCATTATGTAATAAAAATTAATGCTACAAAGTTTGCTTTCATTTACAATATTAAACACAACATCGATAATAAGAATAAAAGCAGACAAGACAGTGTTGCAATGACAAAACTAGCAAATAATGAATATTTGTCTAGTGTGATTAAAAACTCTTTTGTATTATGTTGCAATCGACTTCCTACTTCAATATTTGAACAATGTGTTCAGGATTTACTTTCCTGTATTACAAGTTTCATTTTACGAAAGTTAAATATAAATAGTGTTAGAGAATCCACTATTTTATAGCATGGTTTTTATATCCCTGAAATATTAAAATAAACATCAAAAATAATTTCATAATATTTATTTCCCAAATCAAGAATTTCAAAATAAGTGGTGTTCAATTTTTCCAATGTATGAATAAACAATTAACGATGATTCAAATTTATCTTAAAATTATTGTAATAATGGTTCAAAGCAAAAATATTTCATAAATAAGAAACAAATGTGGTTATTATCCCTTAAATGTTTTGTTTGTGGAAATGTAAGTTGGACATATTCCAAGTATTTGCAAAGCGCATCAACCAATATTGAAATTAGATCGCTCTCTCCCCTCTAATAGTTTTACACTACTTTGGTTATGTAGCATCACTTTGATCAACACACATACTTCTAATTCATATTACAGAGAATTTTTTTGCAGATTTACAGTTAGCATCGGGCCTAACTGTAGGATCTTTATTAAGCTCTGTGTATGTTAGAAAGTTAGTATTTTCTCATTTGGTATTACTCTCAATTTAATGATATTGAATTTGATATTCTCTCAAATGTCCACTAATCGCTCCCGCGACTTTATTGATTTGCATATGAGCACCAAGAACATGTATTTCAATACGGCTGCGAAAACTGATTAGAATTATAGCCAAGTCCTTTAGAATTCCCTGAACGATCATTTGGAAAAGATGATTCCTGGGACAACAAACCATCCATCTGTGATTGATACTCCACCATATATGATTCTTGTGATAGATCAGGCTGTGAGAATCCTGCTTGGCTCAAACTAAAACCGGGCTGGCTCATATTCTGACTCATGCCCTGAGTCAGTGGTGTGGGTTGCGTTCCTTCTTGAGATGAAACACGAGTGCGACCCTTGTTTGGCTTGATTCTTCGGCCTTGCCTGGCTTGCATTGCTTGCTGATGTTGATTATAAAATCTGGGAGGAACATGACTCATATTCATAAACATGCCCACAGGAACAGGCATATTTGTGAGGGCTGCTTGCGCTCTTTCTTGGGATATGTAGCTGACTGTGTCATGTGTCCTTGCAAACATATCCAAACCGTTAGGTCTTGGAGGATACATTTGATTCATTTGTCCAGTGCGATCATACACTGATCCCGGAACCATTGCTTCCCGTGCATCATACATACATGTTGACATAAAATGAGATCCAGGATTCATTGAATTGACTAATTTCTTTGGTTTTGTAAATTGAATCATGCTTTCCTTCAAATTGTTCAAGGAACCTTCAACTAGAACTTTCTGTTCTTTATAAAATGTTAACAGATGATTCCACAATGGTTGCTTTGATAATACTTTTGGATTTCCAACAATAATTATTCCATATTTTGCCCTAGTGAGAGCAACATTTAGTCTTCTTGGATCATTTAAAAAGCCAATACCTTGATGTTCATTTGATCTAACACATGACATAATGATTATATCTTTCTCACGCCCCTGAAAAGCATCCACACTCGCTACTTCTATTTCTTGATATAATTTTGAATGTAGACTTCCTTGATATTGCATATATTGTACTAAATAAGCTCTCTGTCCTTCATAAGGTGTTATAACTCCTATTTGTTCTGGCTTGACACCAGATTTTAAAAATCTGGTCGTAATTTTTTCAACATTTGCAGCCTCTGTTCTATTTAAATATGATGTTCCTGATCCTGCAATTTCTTCTTGGCCTTGTGTCACAAGAAAGAACATTGGCTTATCAGGACAAGGCCAGGGAAAATCTATTTTGATTAATTTTCTTTCATCTGCACAAACACCATTCTGCAGACTGCCTTCATAAAAGAAATTAGATGGAAAGCGAGATAACTCAGGATGCATTCTATATTGCACTTCTAGGCGAAAAGGTTTTATTCCCAAGACTACTAATCTTTCAAATAAACTTTGGGATAAGCCTGCTTTTGCAGCCTTCTTGCACATGACAACAGGGCCCAACTGGCAATGATCTCCAACAAGAATTAATTGCTTTGCCCCTAAAACCACAGGCACCATACACTCAGGTTCTGTGGACTGCATACTTTCATCTATTAATATAGAATGAAATTTTAATCTCGCTAATCTAGGATCCCCGGCACCAACACATGTACAACAAATTACATCTGCTGCTTCTAACAATTCTTTTTCTGAAGATTTTTTCAACATCCTATATCGTTTCTCATCTGCTGAACTCAATTCACCAGTTTCATCTTTCAATTGCTGCAATTTCTTTAACTCTGTATTGGTGTCCATATTTCTAATTTGATTGTGCAAAGCTAAAAAGCTTACTGGAGAATCTATAGCCTCTCTGGATTTTGCACATAATCTAACAACTTTTAAGCTGGATTTATGAATTTTTTCGGTTAATTGATCAACAGCTGTATTACTTGGTGCACAAACCAGAACTGGAACACCATGTTGTTTAACTAATTGATAAACAATAGTAGCACTTGTTACAGTTTTTCCTGTACCAGGCGGACCTTGAATGAGTGATAAAGGCCGCTGAATGGCATGCTTCACAGCATAGACCTGAATTAAAAAAAAAAAAAATGAAATACATTTATATGAAACATATGTAATTTATTAATATCTCATATTCCTTACTTGTGATCTATTTAAATGTGGTAAATTTGGTGCACTAAAATGTTTAGGTAATTGGCATCGAAATAATACTTCTTCAACTTCATGGCCAAGAAGACGATGATAAATGTAACCTGACACAGAAGAATCATCAACTGCAAACTTCCTCAAAGCCATTTGCATTCTAAAATTAACAAAAATTAATTACAATTCATTGCTGAATGACACTTTGCAATATTGGACTAACCTATCAAACGATGTACTTTTCCAAATGAAATCAACTACAAAGTTAGAATTACATTCTGTAGGTGCTCCTGAATTTCCTTTAAGCTCTAAACCTATGTCATCTCCAAAATTATCAGGAACTTTAATAACATGTCCAACTCCAGCCCATGGCTTATGAAGTTCACCTACATATCTGAGAAAACAATATCAAAAAATTAATATTGTTTCAAAATTTAATGCTAATGTTAGTACAATATTACTAACCTGAGGCGCAGTTCATCTCCATGCATCAACTTCATATCGCTATCTGTTTTTGCCAAAGTAAAATATGCAATGATTTTCTTATTCAGTCCAACATCCCATCGGACTTCAATGTCAGCTTGGGTCTGTGATTCCTTCAGTCGTTTGTCATAATCTGCTTCTAGCTTAACCAAGGGTCCAAAAATATTTTGATATTGATAACCATCTTCATAACGAAGCAACACCTAAACAAATTATCCGATAAATTATCATAACATATGGGCATATTGTAGGAAAAAAAGAAAATTAACTAAGTTAATATTTCAAATACCTGTGCAGGCTCTTCATCTACACCAGGTTTTTCAAGATCTTGAAAAGTAGCTTCTACATTGTCCTTCCAAAGTTCTTCCAATTTATTGATTTGTTGAGCAGAAGTCTGTCTTGCTCGCAATTGCTCTTGTTCTGATGGGACTTTTACAAGCCATGACAAAAAACTTCTATCTGAAATTAGTGGTTGCCATTGATCTTGATCCCAGTTCATATCTTTTAAAGATGATTGTGATGCACATGGCTGGCTGTAAAAGTAATAAATTTTTAATAAAATAAATTCATGACAATATATTAACAGATAGAGCATTTGTGAGCCAATTTTTATGTTATTTTTTAATGCATCTAGCAATACAATCTTTACTTTTGATAATGATAAAGTGGACAAACAATACACATAATACACAAATAGTATGAACAGTCTTGTATTAACTGGTAATCTTTGGTACTTCTTAAGCAAAGTCTGACAATAACTCTTGTAACATTTTCTATACTTATTCAGCAATAT